ATCAGATTTGCAGATTCAATAAGCCTTGAAACCTTTAATAAAGCATGCCTCATTTGAATCAGCCATAATATAGTTTGTATTTGCATTTTATTGTTTTGCACATTTTAAGTGGACAAACATAAACTATATAAATGATAAACAGTGCAGGAAGAGGCAAAAACAACACCTGGGTTATTCAGAAGCCTCCGCCTAAATGATGTTGAGTCACCATTTTATAAAAAACACAAGATCACTATAAAAACAATACCTCAAATTGAATAATAAAGGTACACTTTAGGAACAAAATATACTAAAAACATCAATACAATTATAATAAAATAACTAGGGCTGTCAAACGATTACAATTTTTAATCAGATTAATCACAGCTTAACCCTTGTGTGGTGTTCGGGTCAAATTGACCCGATTTCCATTTTCAATGAATAAAACAAAATATAAGGATATTTTCGTTCAACCTGAAACTCAATGGCCGGGGCTTATTTATTGTGAAGGACATGTGGAATTGTTTTTATTTTTTTCCACTTATGAAAAAATGCCCACCCGCATTTATGTCCTTCATAAGAGGTTCGGGTCAATCTGACCCGGATACAATACCAGGACAGAGAGACAGAGAAAAACACACAGAAACAAACAAACTAAAGACACACACACACAGAAACACACAAACTAAAGACACACACACACAGAAACACACAAACTAAAGACACACACACACACACACACACACACACACACACACACACACACACACACACAGAAACACACAAACTAAAGACACACACACACACACACACACAAACACACACGATCGTATGCATAGAGAAGCTGTTTGATCCTGGTTTCCCTTGATCTTTACCCTTTGTAGTGTGTACACAAAACTATCCTAGAACATTATAAACATTTTAGATCTTCCAGAAATGTATAAACATTTTACATTTTCTCGCACTGTCCCCCCTCGCACCTGCATGCGTCCCATGGAGGAGGGACTAAACAGAGACATAACCTCAGTGTAGTAACAGTGTAGTGCAGAACTACAATTATCTACCAACAAAATGGCCAAAAGATATTCTGCTCAGAGCCTTGGAGCTAATAATGGATGAGAGTGAGTGGAATGCATTAGAGGAACACGGTGAAGCGGGACAGGAAGACATTTCTGAAGATGAGGATAATGTGGAGGTAAACTCAGAATTTGACAGCAAATTGGAAGATGAACTTGACTCAGAGCCAGCTGCTGTAAGACCCCCACAGCCAGCCGCAAGAAGACCCCCACAGTCAGCTTCTGGAAGACCCCCACAGCCAGCTGTGAGGTCTGTGGACCCTCAAAGGACTCCAAGACACAGACTACATGCAGCAACTGCAACAAGTACATCTGTGCTATACACACGAAGAAGTTCTGTACATCATGTGTTTCCTAAACAGACTTGCCCATTGACTCACATGATGTTCTGCAGCGTCACTTCATCAATATATTTTTCGGATATACTGTATTTTATGAATAGTGACTGTTAATTGTTTTTATTTGCTTTGTGTTTATATCTGTTCTGTCATTTATATGGATGTTTCATTCTCTCTATATTTCACAGCCAAATACTTTTGGATGTGTGGTTCTTGTGTTCCAATTGCTGCTAAATTGCTTTATTTCCTTCAGGGCTTTGATTATTATATGACAGATTAAAAATAATAAACATTAATGAAAAAATGTTTCATTAACATTAGTCCTAGAAAAGCATGAGCAAAATGTAAACTTAGTTTTTATTACAGTGTATATTTTTTTAACATAAATTACATTTTTATCACAAAAAACGATGGACCCTTCCATTGTTAAATTTGATCTAGCAAAGAGTATTTTCAAAAACTAATCATATATTTCATTTATATTGTTGGGGAATGAGTTAAAGACAATATATATAAGGAATTGTGCATGTTGAATTTAGTTCTGTATTTTTTTTAAACCCTGAAATATGTCCCGGGTCAATTTGACCCGAACATTACCAAAGGGTGTGACATGTGAACATAACACAAGGGTTACAAATTAATTAATCATGCTTAATCACCATTCGAACTATGTCCAAAATATGCCATTTATGTATGTATATTGTTGTGGGAATGGAAAGATAAATGAAAGAAGGCGGATATATCCATTTAACATACAGTATCTATGTTTATTATAATATTTTTCTGCGTGTCAAAATGAAAGACAACCCACACACCTATCAATCATCAAACCGTGGGGTCTTAATTAATTAAGTGGTGATTTATATCAACGGGGGAGTACTTCAGGAAAGTCGACAGGGGGGGGGGGGGGCCGGCGGCGGCTAGTGGAGTACTTCGTGACCACAGAGTGTGAACGTTGTGATCAGCTGTTTTAGCGCAATTCTCCAGTGAAGGGGGGGGGGGGGAGAGAGTCTCCCTCCGCAGCCGGTTGGCGTAGTTTTGGCACAATTCCGTTGTACAGACCGACGTTAACAGCAGCCCTATCTGTGCACACGGAGACCGACTCTGTCGTCCGGTGATCTAACCGCCTTCTGGAAAAGCTTCACAAGTACGTCGGTACGCAAATGCGCTTTGTGACACAAGTGACGGTACGCATTTCAGATTACGCACATTACCTGCGTACCAGTTAGGCCTATGTGCACCCCTGTACTACAGCAAAAGTATTCTCCGTCGGGACTTCCTGCAACAACACCACGCCGTTATCAAAGATGTTCTATTGAGAAGACGATCACTACGTGACAAAAGTTTTCAAAACCGTGGCTACTGAAATCAATTTTACTAACTGCTGTCTGTGCAATTTACTCCGCGCGAGTTGGCAGACTTTATTTTGCTTACTTTAACATCATTTTTCATGGTGGGGCTAAGCCATTTCTTGGTATGGGTGTAGCCTACCCCAGCCATACCCTGGCGCTGCCACTGGTGGCACCTATGGGGCGGGCCATTCTGCACATGCGTTAAATATTTTAACGCAATTAATTCAAAAAATTAATTACCGCCGTTAACGCGATAATTTTGACAGCACTAAAAATAACACATTTACATTTTTTTGAATATTATGCAAAGGATCTTTAAAACCGATTTCAAATGAATTCTTCTGGCATTTTTAAAACAATCCATTGATTGGTTTGTGATAATAATAATAATAATAATAATAATATTATTATGTAACATTCCAGATTTGTATTCCCTTAAAACGGATGGAGATCTATTGCCAACTAATTATTAAAACCCGGCTATTTATTTTCCTCTCAACTACACACTAATAAAGTTCTGTGCTGTTTATAGACATACATACAGTATAAAGGCATGATGAACACTCCATTTTCTAATTCTAATTTTCACTCCACATCTAATTCCCTCTCACCTCAGAAGTGCTCTGATATTGTACTGATTACACGTTCCAAATTAAATGAACACCAGTGCATTATGTTATCAGTGTTTCTCATTTGTGAAAACACTTTGAGACACACTTGAATGACATTTTGATTTTAACATGACCATGGAGTATTGACAATGGAGTCTGGCAGCAGGTGGTCAATACCCATGACTCCTCCACAGTGGAGACATTTGCATCGACACATCTAGGCTACATGTTTTAGCATATTTTAAAGGAAATATTCCCACTTCTGGTTTCTGTATTTTCTCATCTTAAGCCACAGGCGCTCTTTTCTAGATGAAAGCCTTACCCAGGCAGATAAGAATCACATTGCTTCCCTCAATGCCCCCCTCTAAACCTCTGATCATTTCGGGACCGCTTATGGATTCCCTTAGGCTTCCAAAATTGATCCTCTTTTCCTCCACCTTTGTAGTGTTTCACTGATCGACAGGCTTGGCAATATAAGATGGCAGAACTGTCATTGTAATTCATAGCATAATATATAATTCAAACATCAAATGTAATGTGTAGGAAATGTGGGGTTTCTCATCATAGGAACAGGAACTAGTTAGTGTTCTCATTTATTTCAGCCTGTATGTGCTTAGTGAGTTATCTAGTTTTTCAATAGGTCATCTTTCTAGTTTTTATTTATAAAAAAGTGTTCAGAATCAGAAACAGGTTTATTGTCAAGTAGGTTAACAAATGTTGTCTTGGTGTACATGGTGCATAAATGAACCGTTAAAGAAGATACCAATTAAGAAAAAACAAGCAAAATATAAAATAAAAACAATTGAAACAATTTGACGTTAAGATATATATATTTTTTTACATTAAATCTGGATATAAATTATTTTCTATATCTTAACGTATAATATTTTCAATTGTAATGAAGCAATTCTTCATTATATTATGCGTGTAATGCCTCTGAAGCAGCCTTTTTTATCCGTGGCTACCTTCTCATGTTTTTTGGGCAAATTTATTTGGAACAGGAGGAAATGTAAATGTGAATCACGATGCACTTTTATCCACGATTGTGGACAATAGTAATAGTAAAAGCACTCAGTTGCCTCGTATGTGGAGAGCATCTCAATGGAGATTTTTTTTTAAAAAGTGCTTTCCACAAAGATTTTGTTATGAAAAAGGGTTAGATACGGAGAATTTGGTCAAGTTTTTATAGGGGAAGAAACATTTAGATTATTTCTGAAAATAAATGGAAAAATGCTTGTTCTGCACGTGACTCATTTACCTTCTTTTACTGAGCTATACATTGTCAAGCTCACAATTACTTTTTGGATACAAATCATTTTCTGTCTATGACAAAACTTGTGACAACACTTGTGTAAAAGCACAACCAATTAGCTTCGTCCATAATAATAATAATAAGTTCTGAAAAACAGCTCATGTTTACACTGTGGGGCAATATATCTGTGCATCTTTCAATCTACTTGCCTGACAACCAATTGATCAATTCAGGATTAAACGTCTTCATCAATTCCAACCGAGACATTTGTCTTTGAGGAGCCCTCTGCAATCTCATTGGCTAACGGTCATTTTCATAGACATCTCTCTTCCCCCCGCCCCCCCCCCCCCCCCCCCCCCCCACCCCTCTCTGTACAGCAGCAGCTCCATCTCACTGACTGTGCAGTAGCGCACGAGGAAGGTCCGCTCTTCTCTAACTCAAACACACTCAACTCATCTGAGTAACACCAACACTGGTGAGTTATTGTGCAATTATTATTTATAATTGATCTGAGTTTATATTATTTTGCATTGTTTCATTTTAAACTTGTGCTTGAGTCCTTTCTTTAAGACAGAATAAAACAACTCAATAGACATGTTACTAGAGTAATAAACTAGAGAATCTATTCTTGGCATTTACAATAACAAACACCTTCCAGACTGCTTATGAACATCATTATTCCTGTCATGTTATTCAGGAAAATTGTCAGGGGTTCATGATGTAAAGGAATGAAGAATTTGCACACCCTGGATAATGCATATCTATTTCAAAATTCCCCCATGTATAGACTTCTATAATAAATCCGTGCTATGCAAATCAACTGTGAAATAAATATAAGGGAGCAGCTTTGAATATGAAATATCTCATGAGGGAACAGAATCTATAAGCATCTACTCCAAAGGGAGGGGCAAGGGGGAAATATGTTGTTTCTATGTTAAGCTGCACTGTAACATCCAAGTTAATAACATGCTGTGATTTGATTGGAATACAACAACAAGGAATATATACGTATATCGCAGTTGAGACAGAGTTAGGCTCCTTTCCTTGCCTTGCTTAAGGCAAGGAAAATTACTCACAATCTTCACTTAATACTTGGTCCATACTTCAGTTTCCAAGCCAAATTCATTTGAAATGAAAATTCTGATTTTGTTCATAAAGCTGAATATTTGAGCATTACATTTCTGCAATGGTCATTTAAAATATATTAAATGTGTTTTTAAATCCAGTTTTTGTTTGTTTATTTGTTATAATTGTTTCTCTGATTAATAACATTTGGTAGTCTATAAGATGAGAACAGCAAGTAAGGCATCGTTTTAATAACTATGAATCATACATACAGACACACGCACACAGACACACACACACACGCACACGCAGACACACACACGCAGACACGCGCACAGACACATGCACACACACATGCACACACATACACAAATCTCCCCTTCACTGTAAAAGTAGTGATAAGTCGCTGCGTATGCGTATGTACTGACTGTTCCATGTGTTGTTTTGATCTGTTGTGATTTATTGTGATGTAATGTGTTTTTATGTATTTAAATTACATGTACAGCACTTTGGCTCGACCAAAATCGTTTTTAAATGTGCTCTACAAATAAAACTTGATTTTATTTGAAATGTACAACCAAGGTCCAAGGTCTTCCTTTGTACCGCTTCACTGTACAAGTGAGTGACAGTTATGCAATGTAACAAGGGGGAAATGTGAGAAAAACATGTGGAATAGACGTCAAAATAACAAAGAAAAAGATAGTGGGTCATACCACTGAATATCTCTTCAATATTTAAAAAAATGAATGGACTGCATTTATAAAGTGCTTTTTCAGTTTTTAAATATTCAGGTCAGCGTGACATTCACACCCATTTATACAGAGGTTACCAAGGTGACACCTGCTAAACACCCACACACACACCATCGGGAGCAATTTGGGGTTAAACATCTTGCCCAAGTACAACCGCAGGGGTTGGAGATCAAACTAAAGTTGTGAATGACATGCTTCATAAAACAATTTGCATTGTAATTTTATGTTCTGTTATTTTATAAAATGTAATCTGGTTCCCCAGGAAGCATTGCATATGATACAATATAAAGGCATCAGTGACTGACTGCACTCAATGTATTAGCATTAAGTTAAAAACACTGAACATGGGGTGTCTTAAAAAGTATTTGAGATTGTTTTGAATAGGCATCATAGTTTAGTTTTGTATATACTTTACTGCATGAATGTTGTATTTATTCTTTATCTTAAGTATGAACAACACATAGGAGAGTGTCCTCATTCACAGACAAGACAAAGTATAAGAAGCTGTTTTTATCTTGTTGCTAAAAAAAGCTATTTTCAGTCCAATTCCAAACAGCAAGCCGGCTGCCAAAGGGAATATAATGTAACAAACTTACCTTAAAATCGAAGTTTAAAAACCGTATGAAATGCTTAAAAGTCCAGAAACCCAGTCATGTAAAATAGATGAAAAACCGACAACACTACTATGCAGACTCAACCATCACATTTTCCATTTACAAATTACACAATCATGGAGGAAGCAAAATGTACGCATTGCTCATCTTATATTCACTTACCTTATAATTATAAGCACTCTTCACCGATAAAGGACTGTTGGTGGTAAAAGCATGCTTATTAAATAATACTCTTCAATTTTTGAAATGTCCTGAAGTTGTTTACAGGTACATTTGCATGCATCCTAACATTTATTACTAATTTGACCTTTGGAAAAGTTCTCAGTGTTATTTCCTAACAGCTGCAACATGTTTCTAATGTGTTTTGTTCAGATCAGGTACTGGCAGATTGAGCTTTGCTGACATGGAGGGAAATCACAGTGCAGAACAGACAGGCGGACATGTTTACGAGGTCGCGATGCAGAACAGCTCCACCAACCTCAGCTCCCAGTTTGCAGATGTGGCTCTGCTGCAGACGTTCAAGCCCCTCATCATCCCCTGCTACGTGCTCGTGGTGGTTGTGGGTGTCTTTGGGAATTATCTGCTCCTGTATGTCATCTGCCGAACCCGCAAGATGCACAATGTCACCAACTTCTTCATCGGGAACCTGGCCTTCTCTGACATGCTCATGTGTGTCACCTGCGTCCCCTTCACTCTGGCCTACGCCTTTAACCCCCACGGCTGGGTCTTCGGAGGCCCCATGTGTTACCTGGTGTTCCTCATCCAGCCGGTCACAGTCTACGTGTCAGTCTTCACGCTCACTGCTATTGCTGTGGACAGGTAAGCAGAAGTGACATTTGGATTATTTCCCTTTCAATTATCTTCAAAGATGAATGGTTTATGTAACATGATTGCACTGCCATAGTGGCTGAGAATGTCTTGATTGACAGATTTAAACCTAAAGCAGAGGTGGGAAGTAGTGAAGTACAAAATCCTACTTCGTTACTGTTCTTACAGTAAGTACATTTATCTGGTATCATACTTTACTCCACTACTTATTTTTCTGACGACTTTTTACTTTTACTTCTTACATTTTGAACACAAATACCTGAACTTTCTTCTTCTTACATTTTCAAAACAGGCTGGTTCCTTTAGTTTGAATGTGTGTTTGGTGGCGTGATCATTATTATTTAGAGTCATTGCGTGCCTATTGATTTGAACACGATCCGTGTATCCATAATTTCCTGGTCTTCTCTATAGAAGAGGGACCAATGGAAACGTTGTCATGTTGCCGTTGTTCAGCATGGAAACATTCATTAGCTAACAATGACATTATTGTTCTATTAATATAAAGGGAGGTCAGGTACTCTTTAAAGCAGCTGCTAGTTATGGGTACTTTTTACTTAAGTACATTTTGAAGCCCATACTGTACTTCTTTACTTTTACTTAAAGTAAATAAGAGTAGAGTAATTAAGTTCAGTCAGTACTCTTTTACCAGAGTATTGTATTTTTAAACACGAGTATCTGTACTTCTACTTGAGTAAAGGATGTGTGTACTTTTGCCATCTCTGACCTAAAGTCTCTCTCACTATCCCAAGCCATCAGAGACTTTTCCTCCCTCACCGCATTCAAAAAATCCCTCAAAACCCACCTGTTCAACACTGCATTCAAACTCTGACCACCCCCCCACCCTCATCTTTTCTGTTTTGTTTATCTCTTTATGAAAAATCTCTCTGTCAAAGCGTCTTTGAGTTTTTAGAAAAGCGCTATATAAGTGTCATGTATTATTATTATTATTATTATTATTAAAGTGACCATCCTGATTAAAGGACAACAGAATAACACAACAAAATGATGAGATCCCCCCCCTCCATACTGTATCTTTTTTTCACATTTAAGTACCATTCTCTTCTCAGTGTGATTGGAGTGTAACTGACATCTAAAAAATTAGACTGTTCCAGGAAATGTAATCATTGAAAATGATCTTTTAATTTATACTAATTTGGAAATTAAGGATATATGGAGATTTAAGAGTAACTATAAGTGTCACTACTTATGCTTAATGAATTAGAATGAATCATCATGATTCAGTGCATGCTTTGTTTGACATAACAAAGACCCCTTATGGCTTAACATAAATAAATGATTAGGTTTGTGTTAGCTCATGTAACGGATGCATGTATTAGAGTCTTTGATTAACATTCAAATCACACATTAATCATTCAGAAATACATAGCCCCCTACTGTAAGGGAAACTCTCACTAATGTTTCATGATGTGTTTAACTACGTTTTTTAAATCCATTTGTTAATTCATAAACAAATACCGAATGCTAAATAACTGTGCAGCAGTGTGTGTATGATGGGATCAGATCAAGAAAATCCAATTATCCAGCTTTATATTTTGCACACAGAAAAAAAATCAGGTATGTGTTGCCGACAAATCCCATCGGCCTTAGATCTGTGATCTGAACCTGAAAACTCAAACAGCCTGAGTAAAGCTTCCTGCAGTGTTGCATGTCAATTGTTGATTTCTCTTCCTTCAGTGACCAAGAGAGCATCGTAGATGGAGGCTTTTAAAGCAACAGTTGCAAAACTGTCTTGGCTTGTTACTGCTCCACTGCTTTCGAATTATAAACACCTCAGCTAAAACCTAAAAGACAATAAAGCCTTGAAACCTTAAAACTTGAAAAGTGTAACAATTAAAAATATTGTGCTGTAAGGTGACATTTAAAGCAACAATAAGGTTTTTTATTAAGATTATTATTTAGGTTTTCAAAAAAACAAATATAGAGTTAATACAGTGCTCAGTAATACTTAGATGTAATCAACTCAACTTAACATTTAGCAATTCATAAGCTAATTGGAATTTGAATTTGTATCATAATTATGCTGCAGGTCATTATAAATCATGCTTTACTTGTCCATCGGATGATAGTCATGCGTTTTGTTCCCCTTATTATTAAAGCCTGCTCTTTCATTACTGCAGATATTATGCAACAGTTCATCCCCTGAAGAAGCGTACCTCTGTGGCGACCTGCGCCTGCGTCCTGACCGGCATCTGGCTGCTGTCCTGCAGCCTGGTGACCCCCGCCATCACACACACATACCATGTGGAGTTCAAAGAGGAAGGCTTCACCATCTGTGAGGAATTCTGGTTGGAGAAAGAGAAAGAGAGACGTGCCTATGCATACAGCACCCTGCTGGTCACGTACGTCCTGCCGCTTTCTGCTGTCTTTGTGTCTTACCTCTGTATCACTGTCAAACTGAAGAAGTGTGTCGCTCCTGGCCACCGAACACCAAACCAGACGGGAGCTCAACAGGCTCGCAAGAGGAAGATCTTCCGCCTGGTTGCCCTCCTGGTGACGGCCTTTGCAGTGTGTTGGCTTCCCATTCATGTGTTCAATGTGCTGCGAGACATAGACATCCACCTCATTAACAAGCGCTACTTTTTACTCATCCAACTGCTGTGCCACTTGTGTGCCATGAGCTCCTCATGCTGTAACCCCTTCCTCTACGCATGGCTACATGACCGCTTCCGCACCGAGCTACGGAAGATGTTCAAGTGCCATCGTCGCATTGGAGTGCCGGCTAATAACTGTGGAAGTGTGGTCTTGTAATTACCTGATCATTTGCTATTATATCAGTGTAGGTAGGTTTCTCATGGAGTGCAAGTGGAGTCTTTAGATCAAACTGAAATACAGCCACCAGTAACATCCACAGAAACTTACAATACAATTCAGCCATTATTCATTCAAGATGGTCAGTTGGCAGGGGGTGGCTCTAAAAGAAAGGTCAACTGGTGCTCATGCTCTGTGGATCATGACAATATATCAATGTTATCGCAAACCAGCAATACATCTTGTACAATGGGTTCATGAATGTGCCAAATACAGTTCATGACCATGTGCCAATTCCATGAATCTAAAGAGCAGATGATGTAACTGGAGCATCATTTACTGCATTGCATTTCTCGAAAATTAGGCCAATCATTTGTTGGATACAAATTCCTCTCTTGCTGTTGAATGACAATTAAGTTGGAGTTCACATCCATGACTGTCCAAAATGTCATCATTTAAGACATTTGTGTGGAATTGAAATAATTACCAACCGTTTGAATTATGGTTCAAATGTGTTTTGTGTAGTCAGAGTAAGCTTGATCTTTGACCACCACCTAAATACTTAGACTTTTTTGCCAAATTTGAAGGAAATTCCCTCGAAACGCTGAGATATAGCAGTAACGTAAATGGGAACTTAACAATGGTCAACCCTGCAAACTAATCATTCTGGCCACGGCTGTCCTTAGCAGGGGGAATTTTTAAAAAGCCTGGCTAAATACAGTACAAAAATGTTCCTACTCTATAATAATATCAATACAAATTGTTAGAGAAACATGAATCCTTGAGAATCTGAAACACTTAATGAAGTATGTTGTACATATGCTGCACATCAGACCTTTATATAAGGACGAGAACGTGCTTGTCACAAGAAGATTTCTTATGCACGAGATCTTAAGCCCTTCCTTTAAAATGGATGCTGATACAAATCTGAAATGACATAGAAAAAAAAAGATAGGAGTTATGCATGATGAACTCAAGTGTAGCTTTATTGGATATGAATAGAAAATTAGCCTGCCTGGTCATATTGTGTTTGAACATGTTCGCTGCAGATGTGAATTTTCCACCAGCGCACAGAATTAATCCTGGTGTGCCTTCCCGTGGAATAAATTAAATGTATTAACCTGCACCCCTGGGCTTTAATTTTCTTTAAGCCTGTGGTTGATGAGTAGGCTCCCTAACATTATAATTGAGCTCATTATTTCAGAAAGCATTGTAGAACGGCTGTAAAACGTCTCTGTTGCTTGTGTCTGTGTTACCTGCCTCCTTTCTATTGCTTCTTGAGATTGTATCTAATATGTGCAAGACTGATTTCCACTTCCATTATTTAGTTGATGTAACAGCTGTCATGTCACTTCTTCTGTATTCTCTCTTTTGACATCTGTCTCTTCCTGAAAACAGACGGGACAGATTTATCTTTGCAGCAGTGATAACTCAACAAAGTCGACTAGTTTTTAAGTGCTACTGTCACTAAAATGATTAAACCTCATCTACAGCGGTGCGGATGTAAAACACATGTGCCTTTATGTTTGCTCTTCTCCCATCAACATTTGCTCTATGAAGTGATTTAAGTGTTGAGTGCACACTGTATGTACTGTACTGTCGACCACATCATGGTGTAAATTATGTAAATGATTTGTGACATGCAAAGAAAATCATCCTGTACTAACAATACACTGTGGAATAAAAATACAGATGTATAATGACCTCTCTTCTTCGATCAATGTGACCGCATGAGTACTTTTAATTATATCGGACTTGTTCAGTGTGGTTTCAAGGCTGAATTTACTAATTAAATAACGGGGAGGACAGAAGTGTTTTATGCATATCCACTAGACGAGTTTAGGACATTGAAACAAAGTGAGAATTTATTGATTGTTTTAGCAGGCGAGGTGCTTGCCAACAATGACGTTCATTTCCTGCAGATGAATATTGTTAATTTGATTGAGCCTGTGAAAAGAGTCCAATTCTGTTCCTGTTCATCAAATTAGAATATTTGATCATAAAATAAGGCCTGTAGAACACAAGGTGAGTATTTCCTGAATGTCAGCTGCATGTTTTATTCCGTGCTCTTTACGTAGAGGCTGCTTTTTAACATTGTAGAGGGTAGCACTGAATCAGTATCTAGTATCCTGGATCATATATTCAAAAATTCTCAGGGGCTGAAATGAATCTAGCATGTCATAGTTGCGCTTTTCCTTTGAAGGATTTGTCAATTTCATCACATACTCTTGAAATGAAAGGAGGTTATTACTCTGAAAAGATGGCTTTCACAGCGCAATCATTCACAGGTATTATTCACACGGTCATGCTGGCATTTCTTGCGAATCCGTAATGGAGAAGAAGTATCTTTGATATGTTTTAATGCGTTATGAAATGACTCATTGCTAAGTAGATATTCAATCTGCTTAATTTGAATCAGTATAATAGACCTTTTTACAAGTGGACCTGATTAGTCAGGAATGGTACGTTTTACTAATAACATTAATGATGGCTCAAGTGTCCCAGTTAACCATGTCAGTGTGACACTGAGCCAACAAGCAATACACAGGACCCTGAAACTGAAGCAGATAAATCAATAGATTCAGCGATGAGTAATTGTGCTCTCTTTACGGTTAGATTCCAAAATGTAAGGGTAACATTTAAAGAAAAGAAGGGATTCTACAGACATCCTAGTTGAGAAATACTTTCATATCAGGCAATTTGATGAGGATGGTTTGCAAAACTAAAAAAATTCAACTTATTCTTAAGAAAAAGAGAAGCATTTCCCAGTTTGTCAAAGAGCTCTTAAAGGTACCATGTCATGCTTTTCCGGTTATTACCCGTCCCCTTGTGTGTTATGAAGGTTTTTATGCATGTAAACGGTCTGCAGTCACAAACCCTCAAAGTACACCCTGTAGTGAGTAAAACTCTAACATAGAAAAGACCTGTCTATGCTGCCCCAGAACGCCTCGTTGGAGATTTATCTTTTTCTTCGAGTATAGTGACGTAACAATACCCAGGTCCAAATGGACCAATCCACGGACACACACACACTTTCTCAGCCGCGGCTCCGCAGATCTCCGCACATAGCCAGGCTGTGAGTGTGTGTGTGCTCAGGCTCCGGTGTCTCGGTGTCTCGCAGACCCCACGCAGCAACCAGGAAATTACACCAGTAACCCAGCTCACACTGTCCGCTCCTCGAGCCTCAAAGGGCGGAGCAGCGAGCCCCGCAACGTCCCACCAACACAGCGCCCAGACCCCACGCAGCATTCTCATCTGTTTGTCATTACTGGTGTCATTTTCTGGTTGCTAACGCCATTGTAACACAAACACTGATGTTCAGCTGTAACTGTGGTGGACTCATCAGAACAGAGTGGGCAAGCCGACCAATCAGCACAGTGTGCTCATAGGGAAGGGGGGGCAGGAGCTCCAACAAGGCGTGTAGGACAGAGAGTGAATACACATACTATACAGAGATGCTGTATGAGAAAACCAATGTGAGTTTGGAACATTGAACAATGTACATCTATTCTAGTAGACCTCAACAATGCAATTATCATCAGTAGAAATGGCCATGTCATGGGACCTTTCACACTGCTTTTTCCATTGATTGCACATAAACTGTCCGAAATCATATTTTTTTTAACCACTTCAACATAACTTTATTTGAAAGTGCACCATCAACAAAAGCAAAAACAGACACAATCCGTTACTGTAGAAAACTACATAAAATTGGTTGTAGCATCCCTTATCATGAACCGAAACTAAAGGGAAAGGAAAATACCTGAATCCTTATTCGAACAGTCTGGTTATGTTTTCTCACTCTCAGACAACATCTTCTGCGTCTGAGCAAACTCCCGCGCTTCCCGAGGAGTGCGGATGTACGAGTCGATTTCACTGTCTGAGATTTCTTCATCCCCAGTCACATCTTTGCACTCGGGCCGCTCCACTCTCCTCCTCTTCGGATGCACCACACACGGGGGGGCAAACAGCACTCGCTTCCCCCAGTTTGGTGCTGGAGCCTGGCTCTCTCCTCCTCCAGTGTTCCCCTCAGGCTCTGTGTGTGGATCATCATTTCCATCTCTGGGTCTCTGGGCACTTTTAGCATTCAGTTCATATTCTTCTGCAGTGGGAGCATTTGAATTCTGCTCTCCATGCTCGGATACTTGTGAGGAAGCAGCCTCCTCAGGTAGAGAGTCCTCACCACTGGCCTCACTTTCTGCCTGCAGAGTTTCCTCATGTGTTCTCAGAGCCCTCCTCAGCAGAGCGAACCTGTAATTTAAAATATCCTCCACCTGCTGCATAACATTGTCTGGCGTCACCTCCTCCCTGACCCAAGGAATCTCCCTCCCCAGCTTGCAGAGCACCTCCTTCATCTCAGCGATCCTCTTCATAGCAGGCTTCAGCTTATTCACTTTGGCCATCTGACAGAACTTGTCCAGAGTGAGTTTCAAGCGGTGCTTGTTGGGTTTCAAGGACTGCCACGACAGATAGATTGAGGCCATCATGATGGGGGTGGGGTGGCGGCCAGTCACGATCCAGGTGTCTGCTGCCAGCTCTACCAGGGCCACGGCACGCTTCGTCAAGTCCCTCGAGTTCTCTGCCAGCTCTTCAGGAACGTGAAGTGAGCTGATTTTATACCTGGCAGAAAAAAGGTTTTCATTAACTATAGAACTATAGAAGGTTTTTAGAAACACATGTGTTGTGAAGAGCACTTTTTCTTAAAAACACTAACCAATATTAATACTAATTAAATGAAAGCCAAATAAATGTGTCTAAAGGAAAAAAGCTCAATTTATTTTAGGCCTGGGTGATAGAGGGATTATGACTGAATGAATCTTCTGACTAAAATGTTCAAGCCAAGTTACATCCCAATATCTACCATTTGTAAAACCAGCTGTAGAGAAGACACAAGTCCACGATATCTGCTCAACCAATCGCACAATATGTGAAATGTATTAGATTTGCAGCACCATCCCACACTTAACCTTTGCTGCCAGTCTTTAAAGCAGCCATTAGTTGTGAAAAGACTTTAACCTGCACTTTATTTTTAATAAGAGAGTCCATTAGTGTTGTGACGGAAGATGCTCTTAAAAAAAGACCTTCTATTTCCAGTTTGCTTGACATCATTTCAGTGCTGCTTTCAATCTATAAAATCAATTATTTGAATTACAAATAATCAACCATCTAAAAACTTTATCGGTGTACATGTGTGACTGTGCATGAATATTTATAGCCTACAATCTACACCTGACCGTTTTATAAAGCCTCAACGGTGTCATGATACATCCATAGCATATGCAGTTCAATAAAAGCAAAGTTGCTTAAAATCACCAATGATATGTGTTAATTCTATATTTGTAGATTGCATGGTAGCCTTCACCCAATTAGATGATATGCCCTTAAAAATCAACTACCTATCACATGGTAGGACAACTCCCAAGACAATAACACCTACCAACCCCCTCCCATCAGATCTACATATATCTCATGCAGGGCCTCTTTGTACACCAGGATTAGAGAAAATTAAATGTCAGAGTAAAACAAATAAGGCTGATTTAACTATAATGTTTTGACTAGATGACCCTCAAACCCTTCTGATCACACTCTCCTTCACTTACTCCTGGCTGTGGGCCTCCATCACATCATTGATGATGAAGACCGGAGCCTTGATGTTGAGGATCTTGATCATCTCTTGGTAAACCGCTCCCACCACCACCGGGTCGGCGTCCAGCAGACAGCTGATGGTTCCCATGGTAATGGGCCAATTGAGCAGTCTGCAGCTCACAAGCACGCAGCATCCAGCAAGAACCTCTTTCTTCTGGAGGCTCACTCTGATGAAAGCTTCATGCTGATAGGCTTGGGTGTAATAGGTCTGCGAATGCTTCTCGATCTCGTTGTTAACTCTGAGGATCCGACAAATGGCTTTAACACGCTGCAGACCTGTAGGTGTTACAAAGATATATACGTGCATGTGAGAGCAGCAGGAGCACCTGTACAGAGGAGCTATATCAATATCTCTAACAAGCAAATGCTCCCGTGGAGAGAAGGTCTCACCTTTGATCAGGTTCAAACACGGCTTTCTGGCCACCGCTGTGGTTCGGCTGTAGCTGATCTCTGTAATGGCAAAGGCATATGAAGTTTGAAAAAGTGAAGATATAACAATGTCACATGCACAAATCACAAGTGCTGGTGTCTAACGCTAGTGGGTAGTCGACCAAAATATTAAATCGTCAACTTCTTTCACAGTTGATTCTTAAAGTAAATGTTTATGCAAACATGTCAGATTTATTGATTCATGTCAGACTTTTTCCAGCCTTTCAAATATATTTTCTATTGTTTTATATCAAATTAAACGAAATATTTTTGACTGACAAGATATGCATTGACATCACCTTTGACTTTAAAAGCTGGTGTGGTCACTTTACTATTTTCTGATGATTTTATAGACCAAAGTGTTCTGTCCTCCAAATCCAACAGGCAGCTAAACTTCTTCCCTGAATCACTGGACGAAGATAATCATTCCATTTATATAATGGTAAACTAGGAATTGGATAAATCTAAGACAAAAGGATGCAATAACATGTTTCATTCATTCACATAATTAAAGTTAAAGGGACAAACAACAACTGATTACAAACATTATAAATGCTAGTTAGCTAATCGACAATGCTATAATACACAGGAATTTAAAAAGCACAAACTAGCTATCAGACAACAGGACACCAACATCTAGACAAGAGAATAATCTGCATTAATCTGGCTTCTGCAAAATTACATTTGTCTAGAGGGCCCTTTATCAATGTCAATATCAATTTCTAAATACACAGGTCATCTTTTAAGAGCTTGAAAACGTTTCAGTACATGAATAGCTGAATTACCAATATGCATATAAAACAGAAAGAAAAACAGCAAAAAGTAAAGTAAACATTAAAATACCCTAAAAAAGAGGTGTGTCCTATGTGTCCAGTGTAGCAATACGAAGCACATGATATAGAAATAAAGTATTTTCAAATAGACAACTGCTGATTTTTTCTGAAAATATATTCAAATAAAATTAAAGTTGGACTAACATCCAATAAAATGAGGCGTATCCATTGATTGGAGTCAGGAGGTCAACCTAAAACTAACTTCACAGCAGTTGTATGACCCTTTTTTTGCAGGCATTTTGGAGTGAAATTGTGATCCATAAAAGTGTTGTACATGTGAAGTGCTCTCGAGTCCTACTGTGAGCAACACCTCAGAGAAACACAATGGACAAACGGTGTACCATATCACTAGGCTTAAGTGTTTGTGTGAGCTCTCCGTTGATACCTGTGTGTCCGGTCCAGTCTTCGGTCAGCACCCCCTCGGACACCACGGAGCCGCAGTCCACGCACACCCGCTGGGCCTGGCAGTACAGGTCATCGTCCACGATGTTGGAGGAGCCGCAGCCCGGGCAGCGTGTTACCGAGGCGGACATCTTTCTGATGAACTGCCCCCGTGTGCGGTAAAGATGGAGACCTCTTTATCAGTCTGTACACTTGCTGCACAACAGTGGACTCGATTTACGAATGGAGGAAACTGTAATCAGCTGTTCAACAAGCCGGGGCCGCTTAAAATATGTCCGGGTTGAAACACACACTCGGATGTTCGATTGTTCCGCTTGGTCATGACACAAATAGGTAAAGTCAAGGGGTTTGTTTCTTTTGGTGGGTTTTGGACTGGCAGAGGTACGAGAAGTACTCAGATATTGTACTTTAGTACAAGTAGAAGTGCCAGAGTGTAGGAATACTATCTTACAGGTAAAAGTACTGCTTTCAAGGTGCAAGGCTTTTATTGTCATTCGTACATAGCTACAGTGTAGTTATGACAATGAAAATCTTAGGTCATAGGCTCCTCCAACAGTGCAACACAATAAAGCAGATAAAATAGTGCAAGTAAATAAAATAGAATATAGTAGAAATAGTGCATAATAGTCTACAAGTAATTGGAATACTTTTACAGCAAACAGATGTAAAAGTAGAAAAGTATTAGCATCCAAATATACTTGTGGGTCATTCTAGAATTGGAGGACAATTTAGACACCAACATTTTAGAAAAATGAACCTTTTATTTTACTTTTTAAAAGAAATGTATTTAGGAAAAATAGATAATAAACCATCCAAAAAAGTGATTTGCCCAGCTAAGGCATCAAATGTATATTTTCCAATGAAGAATTACCCCTGTTACTCTAATTATAGTAACAGGGTTGAAAGTAACAGGGTTGAAAATCAATGCTAATTTGAGCTTTAACCTCAGGAATTATTGCTAGATGTAGCATGTAATGCTACTTTCAAGGCAAGGACAAACTTGGATAGCCTATGTAATGAAAGAAAGATAACTTTGAAATGAATATGCTTTATTGTGATAATATCAGTAACAGGGTTGAGTGGGTGAGAGTGCCACACTCCTTTAAGACTGAAAAGATTGTACAAATATGAAAAATAAAAGAGAGGACTTAGTTGTGGTCTACCCATGGCACTAGCACATGGCTTGCTGATGTCCTTTCCACTGTGTCATCTGACTTACAGTTTGTTCACTTCCTGTGCCAATCTAAAAAGGTTTGGGTAACAGGGTTGAACGCATGTTGAGGGACACACCTTCTGTGCAAAATTACTGTTATTTAAAATATGTTTATGATTTAACAAATTCATTTTACCATTACAAGAGACTATATCAATAGAATAATACCAAAAAAAGTAAATAAAATCCCTATTTTAAATGTTAAATTTGACATGCAAATTAGTCACCAAGAAGCGGGGACAAGAGAAAAATGCCATTTTAGGGGATGTTCGAGATAATTTAAATAATATTTTGAAACCACTTTTTCTACAACTTTATATACATTTTGTCTCAAGACAAGTATGTTTAACACAACACGTGCATGTTTTAGCTTTTCGGGCATGGATTATTAGAAATGTTTATATGGGGGACATGAAATGTCCTCCAATTCTGGAATGACCCTTGTACCGAAAGTACTTATTTAGCAAATTGGACCATTTTAGAATACTATAAATGATATGTTTATATGAGTCAAAGCTGGTAAAGGTGCAGATAGTTTTAATGACTTTGTATATAGTTTGTAGCCTATATATAGTTTGTATGCATGCACCACGCACCACCATGCACCACGACACCTAGTCAAACTCCTATATGTGAACCTACCCGTTTCTGATTCTGATACTGTAGGGCAGGGGTGCCCAACCTTTTTTGAACCGAGAGCTACTTTTAAAGTTGCCAGTCTGCCGAGATCTACCAGTCCAAATAGAGAGGCGAAGCCATTACTGACAGCCTACTACCAGGTAAATACACACTTCTACTTGTATAAAACGGACCTTTGTACGATGAATACTTCATAAAATACTGCAGATCCTTTATCTTACCTCTTTCTAATCTACACACATACAAGTATTTAACTGAAGCTACACAACAGTGTTGTTGATACAGAGTTGGAGTTTATTCACACGTCACATACTACAGTGGGTAATGTTTTCAAGAAACATTGAACAGTGCTGCCACATATGACACAGGGAAAAAAGAAAATACTCTGAACCCTTTCTTTGCCATTATATAAAAATAGTGTTGCTACAAAAGTATACATTCGGCTTACTAATAAGACAACTCAGATCTGAAGCTACACAGGAATCTGCTGCCAAAGTGCAATAAAAAAGACAAAATTAATAGAATCAAACAATTTTTTTGTTGCATTTTAGTAGAATATAAAAATAAATGCCTTTTAAAATAGGATGCAAGCAACACTAGTTTCTTAACCTGAATTGATAATAGACTATAATCAATTAAAACAGAACAGATCTTAATGTTTGCATTCTTATACCATTATGTACAATAATTTTAATGAATAAGTTCAAACAAACTAAAACTTACAGCTGATTAATAACGGTATCTAACTTGAGTTTTTATTATATCAAAAACCTGTCCCCAAAAAGCTCATCGGCAGCCTCCAGGAATGCTTCTTTCACAACTTCGCCGTCTTTGAAAGACTTGTGTTTCGCAAGAACGTGACTGACACGATAAGATGCTATGGTAGCAGCCTTGCTCTTGTTGTTGGGCCTGGTGAAAATGGACTGCTGTGCATTTAGCTGTCCTTTCAGGCCCCTCCACTTTTGGGAGCGTAGGGCAGAATTAGGAGGGAATTCCGTCTCGTAGCGTTTGTGCTCCTAAATAACCCTTCTTCGATAAAGCCACGCTCGCATTGCAGATGAGAGACAGATGGACTTTGAATTGGAATAGATACAAAAATAATCATCCTCCCACTCGGAGTGAAAATTATATATTTTGGGCTGCGTGTAGGGTAGCTTGTGAATGTCACTCATGGTACAAATAAAGTCTTATTTTAGTGTTGTTTATATTTCACATTATTAATCCAAATCTTGAAAGTAACTAAAGGTACAAAATAATGGCGCGTTTCCACTGCAGCGGGTAGCCCCGTTTAAGCGTCCTTAACCGTCCTCAAGCGGCCAGGCCGGTTTTTTTTCCATATAGCCTAGTACCGGCCAGCGGGTACTTTTCCCCTCTTTTTCCGGCCTCATAAAATCGTGGTTCCCTCAGACCAGGGCCAGGGCTGAACTAGTGACGTCAACACTCTCGACTGCTGATTGGTCAGAGAGAATCGTCACAAGATCGCGCGCGAGTTCATCCCTAGCGTCGCATATATATTTAGAAGCAAGCTTGCAGCATTTTTATAAACAGCATTTTGTAAACGGATGAGCTACAAAAATGGCTACGTCTAATAAGAAAAGCACACCGTGGTCGACCGAGGAGGTGACGACGTTCCTACATCTCATTGGGGATGATAACATCCAGCGGGAGCTCGACGGAACAACTCGAAATGTGAACAAAAACAAAGCCGATCGCCCCGCCTACACTGCGTTACTACCCCAGGTCCTAAACTGTAATGGAAATGCGCCACGGCCTGGGCCGGCCAGCGAGGCAGCCCAAGGCCAAAGCGAGGACGCTTAGGTACGCTTAAACGGGGCTACCCCGCTGCAGTGGAAACGCGCCATTAGGGACGCTTAAACGGGGCTACCCCGCTGCAGTGGAAACGCGCCATAAATGTAGTACCGCAGGGGCGTCGCCTGGGGTAGGCATCCGGGGCTTTAGCCCCGGATGTTTTTTCTTTAGCCCCGGACAAATTCTCCCTCAATAATATAATACATTAACCTACTTTACCTATAGGACGGACGGCAGAAATGTAATTTCCCATGTTCAGTGAATGCAACACAGAGGCAAGACGACGCCACCAGACCAATCAGAGAGTTGCATGGAAATAAACGTGTTTTATTGGCTGACCTCTCCTCTGTGACAATGTTTAAACTTTAAACTGTCAGCCCCGGACGCGGAGATTCTGAAGATGGACATTAGACATTTCTTTAATAAAAAAGACGGCAATTCTCAAATGGTGGCTCACACAACAACCCCAGAGCCACCACCTGATTCAGGTGAACAAGGTATGTACCTGTCAGTAAACTTACAAGTTATGCGAACATGTAAGCAAAGCATACATTATAGCTACGTTGACGTTATTTGAATCGCGCGGGTAAGCTAAACCGTTAGCAAGTAGATATAGCTAGCCAGATATATTAAATAAACACTTTGTCATACAATCTAAATGTTGTGTTTTTTAGCGTTACTTGGTGATTTCAAAGAAAGCTCTCTGGGAAATGTTGACTTACTGTCTGTGTTCGACATGGAGCTAGAAGCTACCTTACACAGTTGATCCTGATTCCTGAGTCCTGTCAATTAAAGTGTTTCATAGTTAGCTCTGCTAAGCATCAACCTAGCACTGAAATATATATATGGATGTTATGTGACAGTATTTCTGAGAAAAAGTCAGCTGAAATGGTGGCATAGTTGCCACTGCTTTACGTGTCGACAGCAGCATGTTTGAACGTATTTGCAGCAGTAAATGTGGCTTTCTGGCCACTGACGTTGCCATAACAACACCTGCATTTAAATGTGCAACCTCTTTTTGTGACAGATTTTGCATGAAAATATAATTCTTCTGATTTATATTTCCTATTGACAGCTAGTTTCTATGTGAACATTATGAGATGGACAGCCAGCTAACAAGCTTTTTATACAAATATTTCAGATCAAAGCCAATCCAGTGGGGCTCCTAAAAGGGAGCAAGGGACACTATGCTCCCAAATATTAAGCCTTGACCCGCATCTTAAAATTGATATGATCAAAAAATGATCTGCATTGTCGGAGGCCTTTTTTCTCATTATCATGTCAAATTGTACAGCTTTCCTTAGTGTTGAAAGCAGAAAGATGACTATATTAGAGTATTAAGTGAAAATGACTATATTAAAGTTTTAAGTAAATATATTAAGTGAATTACTCAAACTGCATTTGTATAGGAATGATTATGTCCTATTGGCAGATAACTACTCTAACAGTGATATCTACAAGAGATGTAAATGTAACTATTTTCAATTGGTTAGTATTACATTTTGTGACAGTGTGGTGACACTCATTTGAATGAAGACAAATTTGTGTATCTTGAAATTCATTTATTTGATAGAGCTGGAAACTGATACATACTTGTTTGTGTTTACCTACACAGTCATCACAGATGAGTCAAACAGAGTAGAGGATGAAGAAAGGAGAACAGGAGAAAGGGACACACAAGAAGGAGATACAACAGACAAGAACGACAATGGAGACAACAATGAACAGGAACACCAGAACAGACAAGAGTCAATGAGTAACATGACTGATTTAGGGACTGCAGATACAGGGCCAAGGCAAGTGAGACATCACTGCTTTCCATCCAGCATGTTTGGCCAGCAAAAGAGATCATTTCAACCACAAACAGCAAGAGATGAGGGATTATTATTTCCTCCTTCCATCCCTTTTTCTGTTTAATCTGATTACTAACAACTTCTAATAATTTGACATAGTTTATGATTTAATTGGAAAATGAAGTGTTTTTAAATAATAAACCCGTTTCTGATTCTTTTGATTTCTTTTTGACATATGGGTGTTGAGAGATGTATCCATATCTCTTAATGTTGCTCTCAAAGTGCACAAGATTGATGCTTTTAACTTCAGTATTTAAAAAAAGTCTTCCTGGGGGACCCCAGAGGAGGTGAGTTCCCCCCAAAATAGCACTTTATCTCTGCTTATGTAACTCCGGTGTAGTGTCCCCTCGTCAACAGATCACTCAGAGCTGATTACTTTCCTGCATTTCAATGGACAGCATATAAAAAGGACACGTGAGCTGCATTGCTTAAGAGATCCTCTCATGCTATCTCTTTTATAAAATAAGTGTCCAGTCAACAACAAAACATCAGTGATCGTATAGTGGTAGTATATTTTTCACAAGCAATGTGAAACATTAAACTTATACAAACTGGTGTACAAAACTCACATACCTGCGTTGATCTACTGGAGTGTCTCTACTCTTTCTTCTCCACATCTCTTGTCCACCATCAGAGATTGCAAACATTTCAGAAACAGCTAGAGGTAGGGGACAAACAACTTGTTCGCTGGGCATGTCAAAAACCTCCCTGCTTTGATCAAGACTTTAGGGAGCCTTTCAGCCCCTCTAGCAAAGGGACTGGAAAGCAAGCTTTGAAAATGCAGTACCATCTACATGCTGTCCTGTTCCAGACACTGCTCTCAACCACTCAGGGCCTGCACAAATACCTGCAGAAAGAAACAATTGACTTGGTGCAGGCAGTAGATTACAAAACAGCAGTTGAGAACACACTGAAAAGTTTCCGAAGTAACGAGAAAGCACATGAGGTCTATGACAAGACCAAGGCCCTGTGCAATGATCTTGGATATTCCCGAAACTGAGACACAGAGGAAGAAGTGTAGAAACATGGAAGACTTTGTAGTCAAGGCATCATGTGGAGCAATGTGAAACATTAAACATAAATAAACTGGTGTACAAAACTCGCATACCTGCATTTCAATGGACAGCATAAAAGGACACGTGAGCTGGGTTCTGGTGCTCAGATTAGCTATTGATGATCACGTTGATAAATCATATAAAACAAATAGCCAATCACACTAAAAACATGTTGCTGTGACTGTGAGCATTAAACAATTAACATTAAACTAAACAAACACAACAGTACGTTATTGTCCTTATAAAATAAAAAACATACATTTTGTCCACCGAGATAATACAGGCACCTTACCCTCAAGAGATCCTCACGTGCTATGAGAATCTCCCACAATCCATTGCCGTAACAAAGCTAATGCAGGCACACGTTTGTGACACCAGATGGCGCAATTGTGTATGTGCGTGTGGGGAGTCTTGCAGTAGAAAATTTGACTGTAACGCCGCCACTGTGGGCTAAGCCCCGAATGTTTCCAGGTCCAGGCGACGCCCCTGGTAGTACCTGTGATTTATAGTGGAGTAGAAGTATAAAATGGAAATATTCAAGTAAATACAAGTAGCCTATCTCAAAATGTGACTTGTTTGTTTGTTTGTAGCCTTTATTTAACCAGGTGAAGCCCCTTGAGATCAAAAGATCTCTTTTTCAAGGGTGACCTGCAGGACATTAGTTACACATGTAACATAAAAACAACAGAACAACAATAAGGATGACAAACAACATAATGTACAGGGTACAGTTTACAAACTCTATTTACAGAGACAGGTACCATGAGTATCAAACAGCATGTCACCCAGCAGAGTTTTAAAATGATGCAGGGGAACCAAAGTGATCAGTTTTAAACATGTTTGCAGACTGTTCCAATTTAGTGGAGCTGCACAACTAAAAGCTTTCTTCCCTAAGACAGTCCTAGCACTTGGCACATTTAATAAAACAACATCACGAGATCTCAGGCAATATGTACTTTCAATTCGTCGAGAGATCAGAGAGCAGATATAAAAAGGTAGTTTACCCAACATGGCTTTGTAAATGAACATGTACCAATGACTGAGCCTCCGTACAGTTAGTGAAGGCAGACCTGCCTTGGCATACAGGGTACAGTGATGAGTAAGTGCTTTACAGTTAGTAACAAATCTCAGGGCACTGTGATAGGCGGCATCTAACTTTTCCAGGCAATGGGCAGGTGCATTCATATACAACAGATCACCATAGTCCAGCACAGGTAAAAAGGTCACAGTGACTAGCCTTTTCCTGGCTTCAAAAGAGAAACAGGACTTGTTTCTGAAAAAGAAACCTAGTCTAACCCTCAGCTTTTTAAGCAGGTTATTGACATGAAGTTTAAAAGTAAGACAATCATCAAGCCAGATACCTAGGTATTTATAACTGGTAACCACTTCAAGTACTTGTCCTTGCATAGTAACAATATACAAAACAGGCTCTGGTGTCTTTTTAGCTTTTGAAAATAGCATTACCTTGGTTTTATCAACATTTAAAATAAGCTTAAGTTCAGCAAGCTGAGTCTGAATAATGTTAAAAACAGCCTGTAATTGAACACCAGCCTCCTTAATGGAGGGACCTGCACAATACATCACGGTATCATCAGCATAAAAATGTAAAGTAGCATCATCCACATTTTCACCTAAACTGTTGATATAGATGGAGAATAAAAGTGGACCTAAAACAGAACCTTGAGGAACACCATTAGCAATGTTTAACCACTCAGAAGACAGCCCATCAAAGTGAACACATTGGGACCTTTCAGAGAGGTAGTTCACAAACCAACCCACTGCATGGCTGGATATGCCGACTTGAGTACTGAGTAAGAACTACTTGGTTAATTCCCACCTCTGGTTTTGGGCCACATATAAGGCGGGTTCTGGGGGTCCTAATGGTCCAATGTATGGTGGAAATGTCTTTATTTATGTAAAGGAAAAAAATATGAAAACAATTGAGTATAATCCATATGCTAATGGTTATTCTGCATTGTTTATGAATGTGTGTTCACCAGCAGATTTTCATCAAATGTGAATGTTATCAACTGCAGTGTATTTTATCCAGGAAAGTAACCTCTTTCAATGTGTTTATGCTATTTGATATTATTTATAAATTCTTTGCTTTAATAGCTCGTGTTTTCTTTTAGCTATTATACAGAAATATGTTAACTTTATTAATTAGGAATAACAACGTTTGTTTATCAGAAAAAGAAAACCATTTATTTCATTCTGCATAGGTTGATACCATAAATCAGTAAAGCAATTCAGTGTACATCATGTTAATAGTACAAGCAGGGTAAAGTGCCTTTTAGTGTTAGTAGAAACATAAACATTGACACTGAGAAAACATTATCTACATAACTAGTGCATAGATCGGACAGTGAAATAAGGCTCTTCTTCATACCGGAGATACCTGAAAGCTGTTTTTAAACTTTATTTATTTATTTTTTACAGTGAAATACAGTAATTACGTTTGACATAATTTGACATTCATCAAAGACTTTAATGCTCAACATGAAAACATTCATGACAGATATTCATTCATTCGTCAAACGCATACTGTAGCAAAGTGTCAAAAAGGTGACTAAATATTTAGAAAAATGTCAAAAATATCTTTGAAAAGTTCTTAGATAAAACTGGAACAGCTTCTGCAAGATGTCCTTCCACAAGAACATCTAAGTTGCTTTGGTGGTACGGCTAGATTACTGGGTCTGAACAGAGAAGGCTACAGTTGGAATAAAGTGCCAGATGTAAATCCTAGGCAGCTTTCTTCGCAGAGTTCAAGGACATGAGAATACTCGGCTTCTCCTCTATGATGCGCACCAGCAAGTTGTCGATGTACAGCTCCAGCTCTGATATCTTTTTGTCTCCATCTGCAAGCTTGTTTTCCTGTTTGAGCACCAGAGAGATGAGTTTCCTCCTGAGTAAGCTGGGAATAGGGCCCTTTCAGTCTGGGGGCATCGACCTGTGAGAGTGGATAAAACATACGTGTATATTCAAATCATACAGAAGACACAAAGCCCCTGAAAGTTGATTTAAAGCATGCTGTCTGATGAAACAGCATATACTAACTATACATTCAGAGACTTTCTTTTGTTCATTCGAAGAACCATATACTTTTTGGATCCTACCAACCTTTGTTTTCTCCTGATCCTCACATGTGATTCTTGAGGATTTGGTATCTCTTTCCTCTTGAACGACTGAAACCGACTGCTGTTCCAGAGGATTAAGGGGTTTCACAGGTTGAAGCCTGCAATGACAACATAAAAAAGATGTAGGCATTGGCTGATGAAAGTGAAATGAAATAGAGTATGCGTGCAAGTATAAGTCAGTTATAAAGCTTCATCCATTTTTTATTTAGGAATCACCAAATAAACAGAATATGATAGTTTATATTAATGCTGACATCTCATTGATCTGCAGTAACCTTATCAGATACAACCGGCTGATGAAACAAATATGAATGAGTGTGATTGATGAACCCTAGAAAACTCTGCATTAGAAATGTGCAGGGTGATGAATCTTTTTCTTATGAAAGACACTATTCCGAGCTAGCGGTGTGCGATGTATAATGTCTGAAGATAAGGATGAGTTGTATACATATTCTGCAGAGGAGCTGAACTCTCACCTGCGCAAAGGAACAGGAGCTCCGCCTTTCTTCCCGCCTGCCTCCTCCCCAGCACTCTGCACTGTGGCAGGCTGAGACTCTCGAAGGGGAGCCTCCTGGACGTGGAGGCTTTTTTTTGCTTCTGATTTGGGGTCAGATGCATGGGTCACATTATCAGTCGCACCTGTAACATGTTCACCTTCTTCGTTTTGGTTTATTAAAGTGCTCATTGTGGCAGCTTTCCTTGCAGAAGGTAGAGGAGCGCGAGCTTTTGAGGGTTTGATTTTAGTTTGAGAGGCGTCATCTTTATCAGCAGCTTGTGATGCTACTGAAGGCCTTTGTCCCGATCCAGTTTCACTAGAGGGCGCTGCTTCATCTTCTGGTGCAATATCCTCTTCGTCGTCTTCAAATGGATTCAAGCCATAAGCGATTGGGACTTGTTTTGCCACAGAGAGACATGTATGGGAAATGCTGCCATCGGAAGACAGGGTTATCTTGGGTTTAGATGATGGCTCTTCTTCCACAGAAAGAGGTTTAAGCGGCGCAGGACGTTTACTGTGTTTGGCTTCATTTGATGTTTCTTTGGGGGCACTACTTTGTGTCAAGCTCTGGGTGTTCTTTGCGTCTGTGGAAGGCCTACTAATAGGAGCAATCATTTGCACCGAGCGCTGAGGGAGAACACTGATGGTTTTGATGTCTTTGTCTGAACTCTTCTTGGTAATATGTGGTAGTTGTTGCGCAGAGCCATCCTTCTGACTCTCGTCTTGATTCCTTCCTGGAGGCTGAGGAGCCAGCCGCTTCTCCCGCTGAGCACTAATAGGATCCTTTTCATCTGTAGAAATAGACTTGCTTCCCACCAATGGTGCAGCAGATTGAACCCTGGAAACAAGACACATAACTTTTGCAATTAAATGGGGTACCATTGGAGTGACTTTCTAATATGGTGAAAAGGAGATTAACATTATTATATTTATTACAAACTTGTGATGCAGAAATTAGAGAAATAAAGAGGACGCATTGTTCATATGAAAAAGCAGTGTTTAGTAGAAGCAATGCAGTAAGATGTGGTTGTTTATTAAAAGGATAAAGACATTCCAAATATCAAGCAAATCACATCCTGTAATCCCTTGATAATTAATTCAGTGATTACCCATTGTATTCAAGTAGTTTTCACTCCCTGTTCATGCGTCAGCTGCTCAAATGAGGTAAGACTGTTCAATGATTAATCTCTCAGGTTGACACATAAACTACCTAACACACGTGTATGCATCTGCACGCTTATACCAACGCTAACACACACAAGCAAGCACAAAGCTATGCAATGTGCATGAGGGTGTTAGGTTGCGTTTAAAAGAGAAGTGCTGAGAGGAGCTGCTGTTCTGACTGAATAAAAACAGAAGATAAACTGCAACAACACTTCTGCATGTAAATTACTTCATGTCATATTCAAAATTCAAACTTCCCTCTTCTGTTCCTTGTTTTGTTATCTATAACTAACACAGGTTAAAGGAGCCTTGTTATGCTCATAATTTCATAATTGTATGTTGTGCCTCTACTGTGACTGTGGATCAGGTTTTAGGCTAAATAACTTAAATAAGACATTTTCAGGTTCATATCAGTATGTAGTGTCTCTCGTGTGACTTGTCTCCATGATTTAATGTTCAAAAAGCTCTTTATTTCTCTCACACTGCCTGTGCTGCACCACCTCTTTTCACCCTCTGTCTGAAACCAGAGCCCAGTCTGCTCCGATTGGTTAGCTGCTTGGTTGTTGTGATTGGTCAATCGCTTAGGGATGTCCCGCCCCTTAGCCTATTACTACGTACAATGTGTTGGAGCGCCAGCCAATAGAACCGTGAGTGTTTCTGATGTAAACAAAGGGCAATCGAGGCGTTTCAGAGGATGGAAAAGGATTTTGGAATGTTAGCCATCGCAGACCATTTCCATCACAACAAATACCTATATACAAACACTACAGGAAAGGGAAAACCCCAAAGAACAAAACTTAACTCCATTTACCCTGAAACACCCACAACCTTCCCCGTTTCCCATAAGTGAATTTCGAATCAGGTTGGAACAATTGATGGAGAGTAAGAACATTTGAAATGCAGCGTGTAAATCTAACCTCTGCTGGATGGCAGACATCTTGTCTGCGCTGCCGTCTGCTCCAGCCGGTGAGTCTGGGTCCTCTTCAAAGGGATTAGTTGCACATTTCTCATCAAACGGATTGGAAGACACTTCTGCAGGGATCTCCACAGCCGCTTTGGGTTTGTTTTCAGATGCATCCTTCTTCTTTTGTTGTTCTGCTTTCAGAGTTGCCTTCTCTTCCTCTAGCTTCCTGGCCTCTTCTCCTCTCTCTTTCTCCTCCCTCCTAATCCTCTCCTCCTCCTCTCTTTTAACTTTCTCCTCTTCCTCAATCCGTTTAGTCTCTCGTCTCATTTCCTCCTCTAACAGTCTTTCTTCCTTTTCCTTCTTAGATCTCTCTACTTGTCTCCTCTCTTCCTCTTTCCTAAACTTTTCTTCCTCCTCAATCCTCCACATTTCTTGTTCTTCTAGTTTCCTCTTTTCCTCTGCCAACTGCTTGCGCTCTTCCTCTTTCTTCCTCCTCCTCATCTCTTCCTCCATTCTTATCCTTTCCTCCTGTTTCTTTTTCTCTTCTGCCTCAATCCTTCTTCTTTCTTCCTCTTGTCTCAGTGTTTCCTTTTCCCTCCTAGTAGTTTCCTCCTCTTCTGTCTTCATTCTTTCCTCTTCCTCCCTTTGCCTCCTTTCTTGTTCCTCACGCTCCTCTTGTTGTCTTCTCACCATCTCCTCTGTCTCTCTTTGCCTCCTCTCTTCCTCAGCCTCCTCCCTCCTAATCCTCATCTCCTCTCTTATGCTTCTCTCTTCCTCCACTCTTCTCTTCTCTGCTGATCGACACTGTTCTTCTCTCCTTGCGCTCTCCTCTTGTCTCCTCTTCTCTTCCTGAGTCCTTTCCTCCTCCATCCTTATTCTGTCCTCGTCCTCCCTTTGCCTCTCTTCCTGTTCCTCACGTCTCCTCTTTTTCTCATGCTCTTCCTGAGTCCTTTCCTCCTCCATCCTTATTCTGTCCTCTTCCTCCCTTTGCCTCTCTTCCTGTTCCTCACGTCTCCTCTTTTTCTCATGCTCTTCCTCTTGACTCCTCTGTTCTTCCTCAGCCCTCTCCTGCTCCCTCCTCATCCTTTTCTCTTCCTCCTTTCTGAATCCCTCCTCTTCAATCTGTCTTTCTTCTTCCAGTCTCCTCTTTTCCTCTGCTAACTCATCCTCTTGTCTCCTCGCTCTCTCCTTTTCTTCTCCTTGTCTCCTCTCCTCCTCCTTTCTAACTTTCTCTTCTTCAATCCTTTCTTGTTCCTCACGTCTCCTCTTTTCCTCCGCTAATCTTTCCCTCTCCTCTTCCTCTCGTCCCGTCTCCTCCTCAATCCTTATCCTCTCCTCATCCTCCTTTCTAACTTTCTCTTCTTCAATCCTTTCTTGTTCCTCTCGTCTCCTCTTTTCCTCCGCTAATCTTTCCCTCTCCTCTTCCTCTTGTCGCCTCCTCTCTTCCTGGGACCTTTCTTCTTCCTCCTCCCTCCTAATCCCATCCTCTTCTTCCTTTCTAACTCTCTCTTCTTCCCTCCTTTTTTCTTCCTCTAGTCTCTTCTCCTCTGCCAACCTCTCAATCTCTTCTTCCTGCTTCCTAACCCTTTGTTCTTCCTCTTGTTTCCTACTTCTCTCTTTTTCCATCTTAATCCTTTCTTCTTCTCTTTGTTCCTCCACATCCTGTTCCATGTGTTCTACTTCCTCTACTTCCTCTTCCTCCTCTTCCTCCTCTGTCCATGGTGAATACTGCCTCACGGCTCTCAGTGAATCCACAGATGGAGGAGAGTTTTCGGGGACATCCTCCATGGAGCCGTTTCCTGAGCTGGTCAGACTGAAGTTTGATCCGATGCGAGAGGACCGGGGGGGCGGCTCTTCACGGTAAACATGGCTGCCATTGATGCAGAGGTTACTCTGTTCTGCAGCACCTTGTTTCTGATGACCGGAGTCTTTGCTGTCTGAGCTGCCTGAGCGCTTGTGTATCATGAACTTGAACTTCTTTTTACCTGGAAGGAGGTGAAAAGTTAACAGAGAACATCAATTAACACTAGAACCGCCAAGAGGGTCATTTTAACCCCCCTGCGTTTTCAAATACATGTAACCCTGTTCAAATAAAACCCACAACAGAACTTATGAAGTTTCTACACATGGAGAAAATAAAGTGTACTTTGGGTGGCTTTTTTAACGTACATGGAAAGTTTGAAATGCTTCCCTAACCGATATATAATTATTATTTTTTTTTTTAGACTGAATTAAAACACAGATTTACTATAGTCAACCATCACTAACATTTATCTCGACCTTGTTATGCGATTTTGTTGTTGATTTGTTTTAGTTTTTTGTGCTGTGATTTCAACCATTTGTTTGTCTTTAATTTTAAATGTGTTTGTACTATTAATCTGGTTTTATTCTGTAGGGGGGGGGGTGGGAATAAAGTTCATGACATCCATGACTTTTCCTAAAAATATGTTTATCATCTAGGTACATTTTGGGGGATGTGGGATGAAAAGAACAGAAAATATACTGTAAGATTTATTTTTAGAACCGCCAAAGGTTATACAATTTGAATACTGTAGTTAATCTACAATAACTATAGTTTAAATGTATTTAGTATGTTGTTATTTGTTTGTAGAAGCGCACCATTTATTGATTTATTGTAAACTGAAGCAATTTCTAAATTAACCATTAACTGAGTTTAAATAAATGTTTTGTTGTGTTATATGAAATGATGAAAATTAACAATGAATATTGGCGGTTCTATTGGTATACAAAGGTGATGGAGTAAATAAAGAAAAACTGTTGCTCCTCACCTTCAGAGGAATCCACGTTCAGCCCAGACGACTGGCTGCCGCTCAGCGAGGAGTTCTTGGCGGGCAGAATAGACATGGACTGAGACATGTTCCTCTGCAGGTTGGACTTGGTAGAAAACAAAGACTTAATCTTGTGTTTCTTCTTTTTATCGTCCTTTCCCGCAGTCCCCTCACCGTTCCCCTCACCGTTCCCCTCCTCCTCGCTGTCGGTCAGGACTTGACTGAAGGACGGCAGTATGTTAGACGCAGCGTCAGATTCCTTTTTCTTGCCGCGTACTTTGTCCTTGAACTTGCCCAGACGAGATTTGGATTTGCCGGCAGCGGAGATGTCGAACATGCTGGCCGTCATGTTGTTCCTCGTGAACTGGATGTCCACCAGAACCTCTCCTCTGTCTTTATCTGCCTTGCCAGTTTTGTCCAGCAACTTGAACCATCTGTGTAAGAGAGGACACAGTTTTTTATTTTAATGCTTTTTAACCACAAAATGTCAAATGTTTTAAAAATTGGGCGACCTAATTTAAAAAGTGAAAGAAAACTATTCTATGTTTTATTCTGGATGTTCTTATCTTCATCTTTGAGGTTAAACACATTCTAATAGTTGGGAAAAACTGTTTTAGGCTACCTGGTGCAGAGGAGATAAGTCCAGTATTCACTCTACATCACATAATTACATATTAAGCGACTAACAATAAGCGCAATATACCATAAAGGTCCAAACTAAAACTGCTGACATATTTACTTCAAACAAGAAAATATCACTGTAAGTGCTTGTACTGTAAGTAACACTCTTTAGTGCTTTTTTTAAGTTGTTGTGATTATTCGGCATGGTATAAGCGAAACAGGTGGCGCTTCAGTTTGCAACGACATATGTAGATTCTCCGCTGTCCTGATATCAGTGGGAAGCTCATTCCACCATTTGGGAGCCAGGATAGCGAAAAGGCTTTTTTGTTTGTTGAGGTGTACCTGGTTCCACTTCGTAGTGAGAGAGGAGCAAGCCGATTGGCAGATGCAGAGCGAAGTGCACGTGCTGGAGTATGGTTTGACCACGTCTTAGATGTAGGATTGACCAGATCCCTTTACAGCATGGTAAGCCAGTACAAGTGTCTGAAAGCACATTCTGGCAGCCGGTGAGGGGAGCGAAGGGGAGGCGTATTGTGGGAGAACTTGGGGAGGTTGCTGCATTTTGAATTAGCTGTAGAGGTCGGATGGCATTTGCAAGTAGACCAGCCAGGAGGGAGTTATAGTAGTCATTTTAGATTTATTTTCTACTTACTACAAAAGTATGAAAGCTTAGTGTCATTTAGCTGAACAAATAACCTAGACTCTCTGTAGAACTTTCAAAATCTAAATACTGCCCATTGTGCATTAACATTCACTTTACAAACGTAATGCTTCAAAAACAAACTGCAGTAACAAGATGCCACGGAGGAAACATGTTTTGTTGGAGAATTTTTTCCACACAGGCTGTTATTCACCATAATGTAATCTACTGAGTGGATATATTTTTCATCCTTGCAGCTTCTTTGTGGAAACTTTGATCAATCCAGTAGCAAACTGAGAGTGACTCAGCAGTGACTCTAATGTTTTCGCAAGGTCTGTGAGGCAAACTGACCAAATAATAATAATAATAATGTTCCGCCTCTGGCATCCATTCGTGGGGGGGAGGTAATGAATGCTTTTATTGTGTTTACTATTTTTGCACCAATAGGCAACCTTTATAAACTTTTTCCGCCAAAGTCTCACAGAAGCAAATCATATTAAGTATTACTTTAGTATCAGACTGATAATAAAGGGTAGATGTATTACTTAGCAGGCTCTCCGATTGTTACACTCTATGCCTTGAAGATATGCGTAATAATCGACCTTTTGCATTTTCCGCACTTTTTCAGACATCTAACCCTGCAGGCAGACAATCAGTAGACCAGTCGGCTCCTTATAAGAGGGAGTTTTTATCCATCAAGCTTAATCTCCACTCCTCAAAAAGCTAAAACTATTCAGGGTTCGTCTGGAAAAATCTATTACAAACCTCATAACCACCATTTGCAATGCCCAACACATTTTGATGTAGCTTGACAATAAAATACCATTCAAGGAACCCAACAGAAACATACATTTGAAGCTCAAAATAGCAACTCAAAATGTAATTATTGTAATAACATGAAGAAACTTCCACTGAGACCAGGTTGAGTCAACTTCTGCATCTGTGTCACGGTCCAAAGGGGTCTCAGAAAAAGCAGAATACTTTAAAAGAACAACGGAAAGGAGCAGTCAGCATAAAAAGTGCCAATCAGGCAGAAATCTGAGGTCAGCTCACCGCTGAACAAACAACTCCAACTGAAATCTGGATTCCTGGGGAAATGAGGAAATGAGGAAGGGGGCTGTGGGTGCAATTGGTGTGTGTGTGTGTGTGTGTGTGTGTGTGTGTGTGTGTGTGTGTGTGTGTGTATAGCATTCTTTTGTGAGGCATCATAACTGTCCTTCCTTGCTATGTCAAGCAAAAAATAAGTTACTTGAATCAGAAAAAGCATTACACAACATTGTGATCGTCTTAAATTTGAATTTATTTGTATGTGGCATAAACTGTAACCCCCCCCCCCCCACTCATTACATAACATCCCTCCCTGTGTCTTCCTCTCGCTGGTACTGAATGAGGTATAATGTTGAGATTCACACTCCTCCTCCTCCCCCTCCTACATTGCTTCATTGTTGCACAAACATAAGGAGGGAAATGTGTTTTCATGGAAGTTGTTAAATGGGTGAGACTGCTGTCACAGCACCTCTGCCTCCTACTGTTGATGAGTAATAGAGCTTGACATTATACATATTGCACTATAGAAACCCTCCTTTGGCTGATGTGCATCCTTCAAACAAACACTGCTAGATACATATTGCATGTTTTTATCATTCAAATGTGGACAGGGTTTGTTGTCATCTCATACATGTGGTAGAAGGTTATGAAAGGTTATGAAAAATAATATTTCATCCAAGGCATCAAAACATCCTTTTGAATAGGTTAGTTGTCAAAGAAGAACAGTTATACAATAAACCCAATATGGCCTCAAAACAAACATTATAAAAGGATGTATGATGCTTCACAGCAATGTGTTATATGGAAGTGCTGACAGTCATTATTTTTGATAGAGCTTCAGACAAATGAAGATAAATAAATGAGGACTTTAAAACTGCATTAAATCACAAGATCATTTGAAAAAACAACAACAAGAAACCAACCAACTGCTGACTGGTGTGGCTAAAACACTGAGTGGAATTGGGTGATTATTCTTACTGGATTATTGATTACAAACAAAGTTAGTGACCTGCAAACAAATATTGATTATAGCCTAAAGGACTATGCTCAAAAGTTGAGTTTCAAAGCTTTTTCTTGACCCTGGTATCTGATCTGAAGCTATTTAAAATTGCCATTAATTAAACTAAGCTGATATTTCACCCACATTTTAGCTTCACCTCAGGTAACACCTTAATCCCCTTATATCCATATCAAGAGCTCATACATTTTTTATTTTAACATCTACAAATCCATGCCAAATGTAAAAACTCCAGCTCTTTCAAACTTACACTTGACTCTTCAAAGTGTCATAGAGCTGAGAGGAGTCTGGTAAAGTTTTTAATGAGCAACCCCTTTTACATGAGTCATGTAATCCATTGTTAATTAAAATATTGATTATAGTGCATTCTCGTCATTTCACCCCACAAACGAGCCTCTCTTGTATCGATAATTCTGGATAACCGGTAATTAGAAGTATAACACATAGTATTTCTAAACCTGTATCATAGAAAAGGGATGAACCTTTTGAAAAATATGAGAAAAATATAAAATAGTTCGTTTGCATAAGTTTTCCATTTTTATTAAAAAAAATATGAAAAAATATAATAAATTGATCATGGTGGGATTTTTTCCGTAAGAATCCAACAAAGATTTTGTCCTAAACCTTTATAGAATTAGATTTGGAGGCGTTGCAATCTTTGCTGCACCACAATACTTAATGTAATACTGACTTGCATTTTGACAAACTATTTAGATATATATCAGTGAAAATGTAAGTTATTGTTGTGCCTAGTATAGCACAATATCAATGTATTGTACAAGTAGAGGGCAAAATTATAAGTAAAAACATAGTATATGATTTATGCAAGTAACGATATATAGCAAAGCACAATGTATAGTATAAGCATATATCAATTGTGTATCATACTTTCAATGAACTACGACAGCCTGTAGCATACTAAACTATTCTAACAGTAAGAAGTCCTACAGTTACTATACTATAACGTGAAGTGTGTTTACAACCCTGACCTTTGAACAACTACTGCTGCTTTAGCCGGCACATGCCACACACACAATTACATCCCTTTAGGAAATAATGAAGAGAAGAAGTAGCTAGTTCAGTTTAAACAAAAGGGAAGTTGCAAAAGTGTTGGGGCGTTAACTGGCTGGGGTAGTAAGTGTGTGCAGGGGAAGGAACAAAACTGTGAAAGTGTCTTCACTTAACAGTGCCTTAACAGAGGATGAAGAAGATAACGCCTTTAAACTCGTGAAGAGAAGAAAGTGTTCTTCTCTGCTGTACAGACACAAACACAAGAGGATAACGCATGACTAAACATTTTGTAAAATGTATTCTACTTTCTGCACACACACACATCCTTCCTTGTGAAGCTGCTGATAAGACAATGTGTGGCTCAGGCCTTATCAGTGGGCACAGCTGTGTGAGTGGGAGGAGAGCTGAGTGAGTAAAACAACTCAGGAGTGATAATGTTCAAGGACCAAAACTGTCTAGGGCTTATTGTTGGCAGTTGACGTTCATTGCAGCTCATGTTTTGTACAGCATACAGGTGCCCGAGTGAAGTCAGTGAACCAAAATGAAGGACTGTGCAAAGAAACTGGCGAATAAATTCCTTTTCTCACCAAAATCCATCTACACACATCCAAGAGAAAGCCAGGAAAGATGGACTGTTAAGCGGCAAAATGCTGTACACACTCTGAGACGTGCATACTACAGATTCTTACACCAATTATTCAATAAGGAGTCTCAATTTACTGTGTTTAACAACGTGGGTCCTTTTTATTTCACTTTCCATGCTTCACAGCGCATTTGCTCTCAGGCCTGACAGCAGATTGTTGTATTAGAGGCAAAACTATACACTTAGTTAATTCTGCTAGAAGATCATTTTAGATGTCAGAATAAGAAAGGCACAGGTACAAACAAAAAACTTTAAACAAAAAACAATACATACTTCTACTACTCCCTAAAGTTATTTCAAGACATTTGCTCATTTCCTTCTTGACTGTCTAAATGTTTCCGAAGACTTTTGAGTCACATCTGTAGTGCCTTCTTTAAGAAAGCAACACATGAAACTTGGTGGAAAAACAGCTTTGGCTAAATTCCGCACACACCATGTACCTTAAACAGTGGAGCTGTTGTGCAGGCAGCTTATGTTTGTCAGTCTGAGGTCAGCAGTACAGACACAGAGGTGTTGCTCAGAAAAACTGACCTCGCTAGAATGTGTCTGTTGCCATCACTGTTTGCTTTTCATAGATAAAAACAGTCAGGAATGCGAGGCTGAAGCTGGATTTAAACCTCTGAGTCAAGGTGCACTCACACAGCTCACAGAAGGCTACTGAAAGATCAACAGAAAACATGTTGAGCATTTACACAACACCAGCTAAAACATGATTTCCTCAGAAAACTTGATTATTTGACTGACAGTGCCAAATAGAGCAGATGTGATGCACACACTACAAAACCATGCACGATTAAGTATGCATCGTACAGCCAGGTGAGGTTCAGTTTAGCATGCTGAGGAGTTGGACACAAGCCAGGCCCGAAAGCAGAACGATATGCAAAGGCCTTTTAAAATCACAGCTCACTACATGCTCTCAGGTCTGATAGAATAAAATCTTCAAGTGGTTTTACTGCTCTGTTTTATAAAAGGTTTATGAAAAAGGTTGTTTGTCATAATGATTGGACAGGAAATCGATATTGTTTTATGCTGTACAAAACATGAGCAGTAATGCACGTCAACTGCCACATTACAATTCATCCAATGACCCAATACATCAAACAGAGCTGACAGACCTCAACAACAAACAACCCTGGAGACTCTGGCCCTTTCTCATTTCATCAAATCCCCCTCCTCGACTCCTAGACTCCTCGGTCCTCCGGTAGTGACCCGGAAATGAATTTCAGCGCGCCATGTTGAAGGACATCTCATTTCTCTAAATGCACTTCGAGGACCGAGCATCTAGCATCGAGGAGGCTCTCTGGAGGAGCTCTAACCGAGGATACACTGATGGGTCCTCCATGGCTCCTTCGTGGATGCATTTCCGGGAACAGAGATGTTTCAAAGAGTCGTGACGCACGGCCGGACTTATCTCAGCTAATGACAGCTCTGCATGCATCCCCTGGATATTATTTTATTAACTGCTTTCATCGCATCGCGATGTTTACAGAGAGAACAGCTGTGAGGTCCGTGCAGAAAGCAGAGCAGTGTGTATAATATATATCACTCAGTATAACAGTCCTACATTACGTTCTGTATTTGCTGTAGTTTAGTAGATATCTACAAACAAAGAGTCGATATTTTTCTAAAACCATTTAGTGCTTCACATAATAAAATACACAACGGCTGTAGCCTGATGATGCTTTAGGAGCAGTAGGTGCGTGTGGTACAGTGTGTAGGTGTGTGTTTTGTACAGTGTGTAGGTGTGTGTGTTGTACAGTGCGTAGATGCAGCTGACAGACAGGTCTCAGTGGTGTCCTCTGCTTACTTTCAATACTTGTAAATAAAACTTTTGGCCCGTAATTTATTTTCCTCATTGTAGCGACCAGAGAGGGGAGAGGGGGGGATATATATCCAGTCTCTGATAGTGTACGTTATTATGAGTGCTCTGTTTGATTCTGAAATTGTATATATGTATATAAATATATACATATATGTGTGTGTGTGTGTGTGTGTGTGTGTGTGTGTGTGTGTGTGTGTGTGTGTGTGTGTGTGTGTGCCCGCATCTGTAGCCTGTTATTGTCTCATTATACCGCACTGTGAATGAATTAAAAGTAAATATATAAGTGGTCATGAACACATCTGTCCATCAGACAGAGGGCTGCTGTGCCTCCGGTCATCATTAATGGACGTCTCTTTAAAATGACCGCTCAGAGGAGAGGAGTTCTCATTTCTCTAAACCGCCTGCTGCTTCCCCTCCTCTCTCCTCGGCTCCCCTCCTTGACTCCTCCGTTCACATCTCCTGTGGGCGGGACTAAGTCTCGAGGATAGGAGTCGAGGAGGGGAGTTAGAGAAATGAGAAAGGGCGTCGGTGGTGTGTGTGTGTGTGTGTGTGTGTGTGTGTGTGGTGTGTGTGTGTGTGTGTGTGGTGTGTGTGTGTGTGTGTGTGTGTGTGTGTGTGTGTGTGTGTGTGTGTGTGTGTGTGTGTGTGTGTGTGTGTGTGTGTGTGTAGGATTTTATATAATACTGGTCACACGGCGGGGGACTAACATTCTCAGAAACAGCTTAGGACAACAAAACATTTCCCACTCGTAGCCTACTGAACTAAAGACATGGCTGAAAGCATTTCTAATTTCAGCAAGGATACCTTGAATTGAAACGTTAAATGTTTTCTTTGAGAGACGGAAGAGCTTATTGTTTACATCGTCATGCTTTGAAGAGCATGCAGGTAACCATTAGTGAGTCCTTACAATATCAGCAGCGAAGCCTGTAAACACTGGGTGGCTAATTGCTTCATGTTCCTCGCTCCGTGTGAATGCAGCGTTATGAAAATGTGAAAGCTTGATGAATTTAGCAATTACAGAAACGTGCTTCATTGGGCAAAGTGGGGTGGAGTCTGGGTCTGTGTGTGTGTGTGCGCGCGTGTGTGTAATACCTCAGTGGAAATACATACAAATATCTCAGAGCGAACTCACTTCCAAAGAGTCTTAATTAATACATGCACAAATTAAATCAAATATATTCATATGGCAACCCTAATCTAGAGTTTTTTTTATTTGTTAGATTATAGAAACCTTGGTTTGTAATTATTAAAGGATTTAATAAGGATTATGGAGGGGACAGGTCAATGATACCTCCTTAAAATGAGTTAATGATATTTGTTCATAGAGGTTTAAAGGACTTTTGACAAGTTGATTGACAGAAAATGTTTCTGCAACTGGTTCCAGTTTCTTTAATTTAGATTATTTCTGGTTTTCTAAACTTTCAAATAAGGGCATTTTTGGTCTGTCTGACATCTTGGGAGGGGAACTTTGACAATTATTCTACATTAAATCATAACACAACAACTAAAAAGTAAAACAATAGTTGGGTTCAGAACCAGGCTTTGTCAAACCAGGTACATTTATATTTCCATATTATACACCTATTAAATAATGACCCTGTAACTTCCTGCAGTGTGTGCACTCACTCGGTCTTGCTGCGGGTCTTGTCCTCGCTGAGCTCCAGCAGGTTGATGACCGCCTGTCCCAGCAGTTTGTCCGGCCCCACCAGAGCCCGGTGCAGGACGTGGACATGCAGCGTGCCGCGCTCCGGTCCTCCTCGGCCGGGCGGCGGAAGGTCGAAGGCCGCCTCCTCCTTCCACACCGGGGCCACGCTCTTCTCCATCACCGAGGTCTGGAACTTCTCCTTGCCCACTTGCATGATAGCGTACGCATCGTTGGTGCCGTTTTTCCCCTTTATCCGGAGGCCTCTGGATTGGAGTACCGTTACCTGGACGTTTGTGGGACACCACTGCAGATCCGCCATAGACATGCTGAGAACTGGATCGCACAGAATTTAACTCCGAGACGCAGTGAAGTCTCTCATGGGTTCACTGTGAGACTGCACTGAAGCGACTGGAGGAAAAGTTTTTTCCCGTGAGCTCCGGTGATTTTGAGGAAACAGCTGATAGGGCGTGGTTACACCGAGAGGGGTCCTTGGTGGAGACGAGACACTCCTCCAGATTAGCAGATTACATGCAAATCTGCGTGGCACATTCACTCCACAACAATGTTTTACAACAGGCCACACATGATGCCTGTTGACAGTTGACAGAGAGCATCAACTGTATTCAAATGACTGATTGATACGGTGACAGTGTTTAATCTGCATACTTAATTGGATGGATTATTCTGGTCATCACATTTAAACACATTCTAGTGTATTCTTTAATCATTTACTGTCAGTTACATTGTTTTCTCCTGCTTTAACATCTTTATTATCCACTGTAAATCTAAAAACAAGAGACCTGTGATCCAATTGTGGAGATAGGCCAGGATACCTGACACGCCTGACAGCTGATAGGTTGTATTCAGTTTCACAAGCAGCTCCAGTTGGACTCTTAATCAGGCTGCAGTGTCTGCATGGATTTCAGATTCAGGACTGAATGCCTTGATACATGTGGAATGTGTTTGGTATTCCTTCTGTTTTAGTGGATGAATAGACTGGCTTTTTAAGAGTTATTCCCCTGCATTTAACTCACCCTCATTCCCATGAGTTTGATTAGATGTGTTGGGGAATCTATGTATTCAAGACAGCTGTATCTTTATTTTTCATGCCACAATATGTGATACGGTTTATGTCTAACAACACTGACTCCTGCTGTTGTAAAGAGAGCAAATTAACACATTGCATCAATCTAAATCTTGAATCCTTCATAGACTATTCTAACAACCACAGACAAACATTTGATATTTGGTTTACATGGTGTGTTAGGCCTGAAAATGTTTGGTCTCACTTTCACCTCTCCCTTGTTTTCAAGATTAAGGGCGAAGACACTTATAGAGCCTTGAGCCAATTAGCAAGGTGACTCACGAAAGTTGGCACGGCCCCTGTCTGGCAGTGATGTGATGACTGTAGTACTAGAAACTCAACATTTTTAGACTTTCTTTTAGATGAGAATGTGTTTTAATCAGATATACAACAAGCTCACATTGCAGTAAAATGAAGGTCACTATCGGACTTTGGTCTATGATCAATCCGTTTTAAAACAAAGACAAACTGACCTTTAAGCTTTTGCATGTCTTTCAAAGTTTGAGCTTTCGGTACTGTAAGTGTAACTATTCTCCTAGCTTTAAATCATACAAACAATGTAAATAAATAGACATTTTACACATAAATATGAAAAAGAAAAATATTTTCCTTCAGGCTGGTAAAAATAACAGTCACAGTACTGACATATATTAATAGACATTTCTACTTCTTATAATTCACATCCACCATCACGTTATAAGATGTAAGACTCTTTATTTATAATGGCCTATATTCTCTGTGTCCTCATTGTTCTTTTGTTGGATCTTGATTTCTTTCATCCTCTTAATGTTGGTCGTCACCTAGGTCCCGCTCGTCCTGCTCACCTAGAAGAACTTTACTGTAAAGGTTCTGCTGCTCTTCTTTAAAAGCATCTTTCACTTTTGCTCGTTTCAGCCCTCCATCCCTGAAAAGACACAGACTCAACAGTGTCATCAGTGTCTTCCATGTAATACTCAAACGTTTCTGTTAAAGCTAAAAACAATCCAACATACTGCTCATATTAACTAAGTAAAAAAAGAATGGACATAAATGCAACGGTCATGAATGATAACATGCAAAAAACTGCATTTATTTTGCTATTTTTGTATGTATTATTTTCACTACATTTGGATGTAAATTTAGCTATTGACTCACCAAATTAGATCCACTAATCCCCCTTGTGCAGCTATGGCAGCTTTCACCCTGTTTGCAAACTGCACCGCATCCTCCCCTTCCTACACAGGAAAACGCAAATCAACAGGCTAAAGAAAGGAGGGTAAAGCATTCCAGTCAATGAAATAAACAATAGATCATCGGAAAGATCTATCACTGAAGTTTAATCTTTCAAAGTCTTCATTGTCATCTGCACAATATCTAAAGCCTAGCTGTTGGCCCAGGCTCCTCCCACAATGCAATATAATTACAAAGAGACAAGCAACCTAAAATAAAGAAAGACAATGGTGCAAAGGACTTTATGGTGCATTCAGGAATTAGCCGGCAAAAGTAAACTGTATACAGATGAAGTCAAGTGAGAGTGCAAAATGAAATCCAGTACATTTTTGATAAAGTCCTGTATATTGTTATTGGGACAAAGAGCTTCACCTCTCTGTTCATGGGCGGCAGGTACCAAACGCTGCAGACAACGGCCCAGCTGCTCATCATCCTCAGCAGATAATACACCATGCCAAACTTACTGCTGTTCCAGAAAGCATCCCCAAACCGAGGATCATACTGCAAGATGAAAATAAAGTTATATAGGATGGCAAAATGTGTAGAAAGGAGGTAAAAGACCAAGAAAGTTCCTACCTTTATAGCAACTGGATAGACCGTGCAGGCAATTTCAAAGCTGCCCTTTTTGAACATCATCACTGATGTGTTGTTGATGCAAGTACCTGCAGCAGACATACTGTAGCGTGAAGACTTTATTGACACAAAACAACACAATGCTATGGGCTTTACATGTATGTATATATATATATCATACCCTCAGGGAAGATCAGGATAGGTTGTTTCGTTTTGTCGGCAACATGATCACTTAGCCTAAAATGGCAAATCAGAAGATATCAATATGTTTTTAAAGACTCTCGCCATTAACCTCTAGGCTTACAGTTAAATTAAATTAAATATTAACCACTGCTTTTATAGCAACCCAAATCAGTATGTATACCCCATGATCCATTTCAAGTTCAAATATCACCTGAGTTGGAAATGTCTTAGAAATCATAGACTCTATGCATTACATTAATGCACACAATATTTACAATTATTTTGTTTGTCATTACTGCACATATTTTATTCTAATTCAATTTCTACGATTTCAATCATATTCAATGTAAATACTGCTATATTTTACTATATTTTTGTAATGTTATTATAGTTTTCTTCAAATAGTATTCTATCTGTGTTTTTAATTTTTGTTTTACTTTTATGTATGCACCACAACACAAGTCAAATTCCTCGCATGTGTTAACCTACCTGGTAATAAACCCGTTTCTGATTGTGATTCTAACACTGAGAAGATGCACTGTTACCTCTTGGCCACTAGATGTCGGTCTTTGACTTCTGAGCGTTCAAACCAGATGTGAGGAGAGGACTTCACCATGGCTCGTTGGATCATTCCCATCAGCCCTCCATGCACCTGGCCGACCTGAGAGACCAGTTCAGCACAAGTTCATCTAAAAAACAACAGCTCTACTTATCTCTAATTGGTCATAATCATTTACTCTGAAAACACACACATTCACTCACAGAAACACACACACTTTTCTACCATAGAGTAGCAGCCGTCATTAGCCAAGATGATGACATCAATGGGTGTTGTGTGATTGGATACACAGATCCCTCCATTCTTCGGTTTGTTCTCTCTGAAATATGATATGAAAACCTGTGAATATTACAGTTCGGATGATCATAATGTTCTAATTCCATCTCTGTCTGAACTGGTTTTGTTTCATAATACCGAACATACTGTACCTGTTATGATAAGTGATGATTGCTGTGAGAGCTCTCACACAGATGCGGTGACACATCAGATGAATCTTCTCACTCAGGGAGAACCTTAACCTAAACACATAACAACAATTACTCCAGTCCCCTTAGGGTGCAGGTGCACTCTTCAAGCTTATAATTTGGTTCCAATATGTATCATGTAGCTTGTAGCTTTAGTTTCTATCCTTGTTAAAGGGACCTTGAATTGTTACTGAGAATTGTGGGAAACTTACTCTCTATTTGGTAAAAAGCCCAGCAAAGTAGTCAGAACTACAAGGAGACCGATGCCAGTGACTGCCAGAGTAACCCTGCAGAAGAAAGCAGATCAGGTTGTTCTGTTAAACTTCACTGCAGTCAAATAAAGTATAATTATATTCCATATATATATATATATATATATATATAATCTTTACCTGGTTAAATAAAGGATATATATATATATATATATATAGGGTGATGAGATCAGAAATATGGCGACATACATTTACAGCTAAATCGAAAACCTCAATAGAAGCCTCATATCTAAAAAGCAAAAGATATTGGGTACAGTCTTACATATATTGACTGAACTAGTTTTTGCACGATGAGATGTACTTTATTACTCCCTCGACCCCATCACCTGGCTGTGATCTGACCTGAGAGGCAGCAGCACTCCGTAGCGGACGAGCACTCCGAGGCCCCAGATGACCGTGAGTCTCAGACTGATGTGACGGACGTTGTAGTTGCTGCGAGTCAACAAGTTCCAGCTATCCAGTTCCTGGGAAGAAAAGCGCTTGGTCACCTCGTCGTCCAGGATGCTCTCCACACCTCTCCGGCAGAAGAAGAAGATGTCGGCCATCTCAAACTGAGGCTCTGAGCGCGGACAGCTGGCAGAACCACGGAGCTCCTTGAGATCCTGCTGCAGGGACGTTGGTGGTTTTTTGGCTATGATTCCTACAATGAGAACAAAAAGAAGACATGCATTTGACGTAATAGTCAGTGATAAGAGCAGTTATGAGTGAGAAATATTCAAATAGAACTTGTTTACCATTACATGGTTTATAGAGTTGCTGGTTCTTCTCTTTTGCTCCCATCTCCATTCGTGAGGTTGCCCACTAATAAGAAAAACATATTTTTTACAACTGAAAATAACATTGTTACATTTTTTAAGATGACAGATTCAGAGAATATATTTTTCTGAGAAGCTTGCAGATGACTAAACAATACAGAGACAATTCAGAAACATGATTGTGTTCCAGATTCCCGCTTCGTCTGACATGGAAAATAGGTCACTTGGCCTACAACATGTGTTGAAGCCCATAAAAAAAAACTAACGATTCACAATTATTACATACAAACACTCCTACACAATCAACTATTTACAGAGCTGCTGCATGAAGCAAA